GATCGCCGGAGACCAGCAAGTCCAGTCTGGGTGACAGAGTGAGACTCTAACTCAAAAAAAAAAAAAAGAAAAGAAAGAAAGTAGCAGAAGTAATGCTGCCATATTCTTAAGTCAAATTAAGTGATCTAAGAATTCACTTAAGAAGCTAGTTAGAAAAAAACCATGCAGCTTCTGCCAGTCTCCCTTAGGACGCTCGTCCTTGGAACCCAGCCATCATGCTGTGAGGAAGCCAGGGCAACGTGGAGAGGTGCCTGGCCTTCGGCCCCAACTGAGGTCCCAGCCAAAAGCCAGCAGTAACTTGCCAGCCCGCTATGTGGTTAAATCATCCTAAAAGCAGATCCTTCAGCCCCTAGTCAAGATGCCACAGCTGATGCCACACTGAACAGAGTCAACCCTGCTTAGTCTTATACAAATTGCAGAGTTGTGAACAAAATAAATATTTACCATTGTTTTAAGTCATTAAGTTTTGGGGTGGTTTGGTACACAGCAATGGATAACTAGAATAGCTTCCATACTAAAAGGCTAAAAACAATATCTAGCTTCCTCCTATTCAGTGCAGACACTTCTTTCTAGCTGATCATCATCCAAACTCTGAATGTTTTGACTAACATGGTTCTCACAAAACCGCCCCTTCCATTGATGAACAACTCTGGAAATTATGACCTGCCCTATATTAAAACCAGTTCTGTTGTGCCCAACCTCTGGTTCGAGTTCTGTCCTTTGAGGTGACCATTACTGTCTAAACCCTCTTCTTCAGGACAGGCCTTTGCCTTATGATATAGCAGCGAAATCTTTAGCACTGTCCTACTTTATAGCTAAGAAACCTGAAGCGCACAAATTGGCTATTTTACCCAAAGTTACACAACAGACACTTGAATTTCTGGTATAAGGCTTTTCTTTAGTATTATTTCTATCAAATATGAGATAAGTATAACAGATACAAGATGTGTTGTCCATACTCAAATCAACAATTTTCATACTTATACTATCATTGTTTAGAGAATGAATCCTCATTTCTATCATCTATGAGGAAGAATATGGCATAAATAACTGAAAAAAGAAAATTACTTTTCTGTACCACTTCTCTTCACCTCATTTGTACTTAAATGTTTCCTGTTTTAACTCCCAAAAGCCAGTAAGCTCTTGGAGGACAGGTCCAAGTCTTATAATTTTGAGTCTTCCTTGGTGTTTGAATACATTTATGTTGAAAAATTTGCCTACCTGAGGGAGGCAGCATATAGATAAGGATAAAAACATTTCTTTCCAAATGATTTAAACACAGGCCTTACAATACCAAAGTCGTTCTCATCATGTTAATGTAGTAATTGTATAGTAAGCTTTTTTCTTTTTCAAAGTCAGCAGCAATAGAAAATGAGCTCCTTACACTGTTGACTACAGTATACCGGTTGCTATGACAATGCTTAGTCCCCAAACATTCTTTCTAATTGAGACAATTTCTCCTAGCTTCAGTCCCCTAAGACTGATCCGATTATACAACTCAAAACCCAAAACCCAAGTGGTGCCCCTCAATAAAGATACTCTGATTACACAACCTAAGCAAAAATTTAAATACCACTTTTCCAAATTGCAAGGAAACTTTTCAGGTAACCCATTTTGTTTTCACACCTAAAGTCATATGAGTTGAATGGTAGGTGCCTGATATAACTTATTTATTTATTTGTTTGTTTGTGTTGGGGTCTCACACTGTCACCAGGCTAGTTGCCACCCAGGCTAGTTGCCTGATGTAACTTATTTATGTGAGTTGGGGTCTCACACTGTCACCCAGGCTAGAGTCCAGTGTCACCATTGTGGCTTACCGCAGCCTCAACCTCCTGGGCTCAGGCGATCCTTCAGCTTCGTGAGTAGCTGGGACTACAGGTGTGCATCATCACGCCAGCTAATATTTTCTAATTATTTTTTGTAGAGACGGAGTCTCACTGTGTTGCCTAAGCTGGCCTCAAACTCCTGGAGTCAAGAAATCCTCCTGCCTCAGCCTCCCAAAGTGCTGGATTATAGGCAGGAGCCACCATGCCCAGTCTGGTAATTCTCTTTAATAGCAAAAGATTTAAAAACTGGATTGTTTTCATATAATGCTTATTTAGTTAGGAAAGTTTTAATTAGCTGAGTTGGTCAAGATTTTAACTTTTCTTATACACACACCCAGAAGACTGAGCTTATTTTGCATATTCAGTGACATTTCTTACATCTCTACAATACCTAGCAGTGTTCTCAAAAAAATGTTCTCTATAAGCTCAAAACAGTGTCTACAATGAAAGTTTACTACATGCTCATGGAAGGGGGAAGGATTTAGATGTTGGTATCCAATACTCTGTTTTTCAATTCATTTACTTAGCCAAAGAGCAAAAGAAAAAAAAATCACAGAACACACCTACTTATCTAAAAGAAGGGTTAACATGCATGATAGATCTCAACTAACCTGAATATTATGTTAATAAAGGTTAACCGTAAAACAATTTACTGTGAAACAATGAGTCAGAAGCAACCAAAACTACTATAAATAAAAAATAAAAGCACTTTAGTTTAGTTTTAGTCTATGAGTTCAAGACAAAAAGCTAACATAAAAATACACAATTTGGCTGGGTGCAGTGGCTCAAGCCTGTAATTCCAGCACTTTGGGAGGCCGAGGCGAGAGGACTGCCTGAGCCCACGGGTTCAAGAACAGACTGGGCAACTTGGTGATGCCTCTTCTCTACAATAACTCAAAAAATTAGCTGGGCATGGCAGCATGTGTCTGTAGTTCCAGATACTTGGAAGGGTGAGGTGGAAAGATCACCTGAGCCCAGCAGGTTGACGCTGGGGTGGCTGTGAGTGTGCTACTGCACTCCAGCCTGGGCAACGAAGTGAGGCTCCAACTCAAAAAGCAAGCAAACAAACAAACAAAAAGACACAACTTTCTCTATGGCAGACAGTTCAAGTTTAGAACACTGTAAGAAGTTCCAAGGCTGAAAATAATGAATCTTTTAAAAACTGCCCATCAAAGAACTTTAAATGATAGGTGTACTCTTCTTCTACAACAGAAAGCACAGTTCTTTCTTTCCCTGCATTAGAAAATGTTGCCATCAAGTATGGATAAGAGAGAATAAATATACCATGTGACCCAAGAAGGGTCTGAGAACGGGGCATAAAGACTGGGGCTGAGAATTCTGCAAAAAGCTTTCAATTTCTTAACTTAGAGACCAGAGTTTATGTGAATAAATTATGTTGGAGATTGGAAATCATGCAGAAAGGTCTATAATATGAAAACATTAATAAATTTGCTATAAAGTATTACTGGGCAAAGATTGAAGCAAGGAATTAACTGTTCATAATACATTTTTTTTTTTTTTGAGTTGGAGTCTCACTCTGTCGCCCAGACTGGAGTGCAGTGGCCGCTCCCGGCCACCGCAACCTCGACCTGCTGGGCTCCGGCGATCCTTCTGCCTCAGCCTTCCGAGTAGCTGGAATTACAGGCATGCCGCCCGGCTGATTTTTTGATTTATTGTAGAGATGAGGTCTCGCTGCCCAGGCGGGTCTCTAACCCGCAGGCTCAGGCAATTCACTCACCTCAGCCTCCCAAAGGCGCGGGATTACAGGCTGAGCCACCGAGCCTGGCCATAATACATTTTTAAAATCTCTCACTTTGAACTAAAAATAGAATTACCATTGGACCCAGCAATCCCATTATTGGGTATATACCCAAAGGAACATAAATCACTCTACCAAAAAGACACCTGCACTTGTATGTTTATTGGACTATTCACAATAGCAAAGTCATGGAACCAATCTAGATGCTCATCAATTGTGGACTGGATAAAGAAACTGTGGTACATATACACCATGGAATACTACACAGCCACGAAAAAGAATGAAATCATGTTCTTTGCAGCAACATGGACACAGCTGGGGCCATTATGCTCAGCGAGTTAATGCAGAAACAGAAAATCAAATACCATATGTTCTCATTTATAAGTGGGAGTTAAACATTAGGTACAAATTGACATAAAGATGGAAACAATAGACAGTGGGGATTCTAAGGAGGGAGGGAGGTGAACAAGGGTTAAAAAACTACCTATGAGTACTATGTTCACTATTTGGGTGACAGGTTCAGAAGCCCAAACTTCAGCATCACACAATATATCCCTATAACAAACCTGTACATGTACCCCTTGACTCTAAAAAACAAAAACAAACAAAAAAGAAACGCTCATTTTGTTTGGAAGAGAAAAATAATTAAGTCTATCAAAGTATTTTAGTAAGCAAATGGAGAACTATGTAGAAAGAGGAACCATTATGAAATGTGTGACTAAGTATGTTTTGTGCAATACTAATGAACATTTTCAAAGTTTTTTGGTTTCTGGCTATATAGCAAAGTAAAAATGCGGGAGTTTTCATTCATTTAAAGCAATAGTAGAATGCAGACTAGTTTATGCCGGTTTTCACTTTACAGTCTTACAATCCAAGACTGATTAGATTTTCATGATTCCTTTCGGATAACTGGAAGAGAAGGGAGAATAAAGCTGTACATTAAACAGTCCACTTAGTAACTGAGAAGCAGTGGAACAGATCGTGAGGCACCATAGAGATTTACCAGGAGGGCAGACAAAAGAGAAAGCAGTCACAGAACATAAGCCGCTGAAGAGATGAGAATCAGTCCCATGTGTAACTCGACGAGTGGACAAAACCCCGCTCGGCGCTGCCGGTGAAATGAGTTGATTTGAGATTCAGGGCATTATTGGTTCCTTTCCTTCCTCGAGTCCATCTTCGGACAGGAAGTTAGTGCAAGTGGGGTGCGGAGCCGAGGGAAAGTCCCCGGGGGTTCTAGCTACCTGGACAACAAACTCTAAGGCCCCCACAAAAGTGATACACCGACTTCAGATGCCCGCATTCAGGACAGCAAGCGCGGCAGCTGTTGAGTGGGATACCGTAGCGCTCCCGGGGGATAAGGGGCCCTTGCGGAGCGGCTCAGGAGGGCTAAGAGCAGCGGCTACGAGACGTATTACCTTCTCGCGCTGGTCCCAGCTATACTGCTTCGGCTGTTCTTCCTCGTTCTCGGGCCGCGACTCCTTCTCAGCCTTCCGCCTCTTGGAGAAGAAGCAGCCCATGGTCCCGGACCGCGGGTCTCGCTGGCTGGCCCACTAGCTGGAGTGTGGCGTGAACCCAATGCGCCCCGGCTCCGCAGCTCTCTGAACACCGCCCGGCGAACCCGCCCAGCAGTCCACAACCTCGCTTCGCCTGCCAGGCCCTACACTCCTACTCTCTTTTTCCTCAGTCGCCCTGACGACCCACCGCAGCCAATGACCGCTCAGCGCCTGTTGAGCCAACCAAAGCCTTCCGAGTCGCCCTGTGGCCAATGAAGAGAGGCCGACATATTCACACACCAATCCGCACCCGGCTCCTGCGACAGTCCCGCGGAGGGCGGGCCGGCTCGAGCGCACGCACGGCCGACCCCGCCCCCAGCTCGGCCCCTTCCCGCCTCCGACCCCGCCCCTCCTGGGACTTGGTGGGCTGTTTAGCTGGTGGGAGGCCTGGCTCGCCATCGGGTCTTTTTGTACCTGGTTGTCAGTTTCCAAGTTCCAGGCACTGGAGGGATCTCTAGTTGAACATTAAACTTTTTTATGATGCGAGCTGTGAGGGAACAGGAATTCCTGGTGACATAGGAAGGCCCTGAAATTTGTATTCCTAATTCCTCTTCTCTGCTCTTCACCCCTCCCACTGCCTCCACATCACCAGGCCAGGGTCACTCCCTCAGGAACCTTACCCCACAACTTCCCTGGCCTCTTCCGTGCTTTCTTAAGATTTCCACGTATCGCTCTAAAATTGCACACGTACTTAGTAAAATAGTGTATCAATTCCCTACTAGAACTGTGAATTTCTTGAAACCAGAAGGTGTGTCTCTCTCTCTCTCTCTTTTTTAGTTGGAGTCTCACTCTGTCGCCCAGGTTGGAGTGCAGTGCAACCTCACGGCCACCGCAGCCTGGACCTGCTGGGTTCAGGCGATCCTTCTATCTCAGCCTTTCAAGTAGCTGGTACTACAGGCGTGTGCCACCACCATACCTGGCTAATTTTTTAATTTATTGTAGAGATGAGGTCTCGCCAAGTTGCCCA